AACCCGTTGCGGTGAATTTAGCGCTTTTTGACTCAGCAGCATCGCTGCATTTCTGTCAGTTGCGTTCTGACAGCGTGGTTGGCTCGGGCGTGGGAAACAAATCCACATTCGGACATCAATACGAAGACCGCACACCGGCTCTGGTCAGCCACGAATGTCACCGAAGGGAGCCCCCATGCAGCCGTGAGTCAGACCCACACCGAGAGACTCGAGATTTTCAAACTGACCCGTCTTTCTTTCTGCCCGTGAGCGCAAGAAGCGAGCCGACCGTTTTTTTTTTTTTAAACATGGCGAGGCGTCAAGCTCACGTTGCGTCCGTTGTCGACGCCGGCGACGAAAACTCCAGAACCTTCGGGGCTGCCCCTTCCAAGAGGTCCGAGAAGCCCGACAGCAAGATGCAGACCCAGGCTTTGACCAAGAGGCCGGCGTTGACCAATTTGCAGCCCGATTTGGTGGTGGGCGGTGGCAAGCAGGCCGGGCTCACGAAGCGGGATTCGGTTCGACAGGTGCGTTTTTTCATGCCTTGTCGCTTTGTTCCAGTCGTTGACTCCCCCTTTTTTTTTATAGGTTTCCGGAGAACCTTGCTCATTTTTTATCTTTTATGTTGTCCTTGTTCATAGATCTTCCCGTGCATGAATATGCCTGTTCATTACGTTATCTTGAACCATTTGTAAACCTAACGTGTTGTTCGTCGCTTCTCTGTTGTTCGCGAGATTTTGGGGACGCCTTGGACCTGGGATCTTTGTCGTGAAAGCTTCGGTTTGCTGTAATTCTGCTAGTGTTTTTCGTATTAACTTCGGATTATCTTAGCAACATTTATTAAGCGTCCTCGTTTCGCTAGTTTGGTTGTGTGCCTTACGTGCGTTTTCAAAAAGATTTCGTAGATTTTTGTTTTTCTTACCGAGTAAATTTGTTAACAATCATGATACTCTGTGTACTGGATAAAAATATCTCGGGTAGTTCTGATTGCTGCAGGGGTGAACATGCTAGGTCGACGCAGCAAGCGTGCTTACATATCCAGCCTGGATCGGCTTTTCCGAACGTTAGTGCTCAACGCCAGAATCTCAGTATTTTATTGTGAGAATATATATTTTAAAAGCTATGGGGATTGGCAAGTACAGTGCTAATCAGACTTGTCTATAACGCGCGAGCGTGCAGCTTTCTCCGGGGAGCGCTAGACTGCTGGCATTCGCGAAAGCTAAGCTAGTCACGTTGCGCAACGTGGAACGGCCCGCCCGAGGGGTATCCTGCCCACTCTATCGCTTGATAAGCGATAAAAGTGAAGTGCTTTATAATCTGCTTTTTTTTTATGACGACATTGTTGATATGCCTTCATGCTTCAGTTTGTTTATTGTTCGAGCAATGGTACTTGTAAAAAGCGTGCGAGCATCATTCCGCGTTCGCCGCCAGCTGATAGAGTGGGCAGGACACCCCTCGAGCGGGCCGTTCCATGTTGCGCCACGTGACTAGCTTGGTTTCCGCGAATGCCACCAGTCTAGCGCTCCCCGGGGAATCCGCACGCTCGCGCGTTATAGACAAGTGTGATTAGCACTGTACTATCGTGGACACTGTTAGCTATAACGCCGCAGCGGCGGCCTTCCGGTACCCCTAGCGCCCCATAGCAGGCGCCGTCCGAAACTCCGCGCATGCGCCGTGTGGCGGACTCGCTCTTCCTGTTTGAGAGCACACCCTCGCTTTGTCGTCTGCTAGGCGCAGAGCAGGCGATGCCACAGTGCTGCTCGTCTGGTACCCTCGCCATAGTGAACTGGCCTCAAAATCATTTTCAACCGGCGATTTTTATTGGGGCAGATTGCAGAGTCGTTAAGGCACAACACCTGTTTAAGTTTTTTTTTTCTTTTTTGCTTTTTCAGAAACAGGCGTGCGCAATGCCTTTTTACCAATATGCGTTAGCAAACCTGTATGAGCGCAGCAGGTGTGATACAGAAATGGACTGTTATACTCAGTTTCACCTTAAGTCCGACCGCAGCGTACGCTACCAAATCACAGAGCCAATAAAATAGCTGCAAAGGTGCAAAGTCACGGAGTGCATCACCGGGGGACCCAATTGCAAAAGCTGCTTTTGTCGCTGCTTGGTTGGTCCTATCGTCTCGTAGCGTCTGCTGCGCTTAGACCTAAAGTGAAACGGAGTATAACTGCAAGTTTGTCCCATAAAAAAATTTAATCTACAGTGATGTTACATTTAGTGGCGATGATTATCCTTAGCCAGCGAAGTCAGGGTGTCAACTGTGGGCACCTCTTACGCGGTGGTTCGCTGAACCGTGTTCAGCGAAAATTGGCGGGTGCTGTGGTGTCGTCTGCTCTGTGAGTAGCAGACGACAAGGCGAGGGTGTGCTCGCAGGCGGGAAGAGCGAGTCCGCCACACGGCGCATGCGCGGAGTTTCGGACGGCGCCTGCTATGGGGCGCTGGGTGTACGGGATGGCCGCCGCTGCCGTGTTATAGCTAACAGTGTCCACGAAGTACATGCATCATCTACAAGCCGGTAGTTTTTGGTGCGAACTGCCTTTCCATTGTGCTAGCACTTCCATGCTCGTTTGCGTAAAATCATACCTGTTCCCTTTTTTTTATGTTTTTTGGCAATGCAAAATTTGAACAATCGTCAGCTTTCCGGTCATAGTGCTTTTCGCCGATATCTGTGACAGTAACTTTGGAATGGGTGGTTTTCTATGTCCACCATTTCTTAAACTTTTTTTGTCTTTTTTGTTTTCTGATTTAAGACATACATACAACCACTCATGCAGCTTCTCAAGCAGTATCTATCGAAATTGCCCAGTTTGTGAGGTAAAGACCCTTGCAGTTCCCCTGGCCTCTTTTTGAATTCTGGTACATATGCGACGTTGTGCTCTCACCTAAGGGGAGAAACTGACTTTCTCCCTTGGCAAGAAACTGAGAGCCTGAAGACTTGTGTTTCCTGTTCCTAGTAACCCCTCCCCCCTTTCTTTATAATGCTATGTGACCTTGTTAACCTAATGCTACAGAAGACTGCATGTGAGTAGTATGTTTACATCAACTAGAAATAGAGTAGAGTTTCCTCAATGTCAAAATGATGACATTTCTGGCTTGGTCAGAGTTCTCATGTGCCAAACACAAACAGTAAAAAGACTATAGTTAGCAAATGTAGATGGTGCAGTTTAGAGCCACTGCATTTTGCAAAAGTACTGTATACCATGGCGTCGAATTCAGCTGGAGAAATCTAGCTTTAGACTTCTTTAGGTTAGAAATCTTATAGGCTGTCATTGGCCACCATCCTCAAGAAGCACTAAATGGTGTTTCTGATATTGTCTGTTCTTGGTGATTACTCCTTCTACGAGAACTTAGCATCCCAGAAATTGGGAAATTATGCTTGTGCGATGTCTATTTCCCTGCTAAAAATGTGATCGAAGTTTGTGCCACCCCCCTTTTTGAGCGGCAAAATCTGGAGCACAGAATTCAGCGGAGGTGCTGGTGGCGCCTTTGCTTGCGATTGGCTGGCGCCTCTGCTGAATTATGTGCTCCAGATTGTTCTGTCCAGAAAAGCGAGTGGCACGAATTTCGATAGCATTTTTAGTAGGGAAATGGACTTTGCAGGAGCATAATTTTTCGATTTCTGGGATGCTAAGTTATCGTAGGAGTTATCACCAAGAACAGACAATCTCAGAAACGTCTCTAGTGCACCTTTAAATCCGGTGGGGAAAGGGGGGTTATGCAAAATATTTACACACTCTAAACAGCCTGCGATTTCTGACTGTTCATAACGTAATGTGGGCATTTGAGTGTTAAATGAACGAAAAGGTTCGCTAGGGCTACTGTGGAGTGGTCCACAGTCCGTGGGAGGTTGGGTCTTTGTTCTCTGACAAAGCTTGCCTACTCCAATGGCGCAATGCGGGCATTTTGAAACCACCGATGGTGTTGAGATGCATGTGTTTCGCTGCTCTTGAAACATGGTCGCTCTCGCGATGCCCATGCTGAGTGTCTAAACCCGATGGCTGCTCCCTAAGAGCAGCCAACAAGGAGGATAGAAGGGTAAGAGAGGGCATGACCGCGTAGCCTCCACAAGCCATGCTCCCTTGACGCCTCTTTCTCACTTTCCTCCTTACTCTCCTCACTTAAGCCCAATATGACCACGTGACCATAACTAGCCTTCGTCTAGCCTTCGATTTCATAAAACTTACTGGACGGAGCGTGCACAAGCCTGCAAGGAATCCTTCTACAATCAACGATCTCACACGTGATATGCCACTCGTACCAATTTCCAGAGGGATCTACGATCAAATTGGCCACATCGTTTGAACTTTTTATGACTAGGCTTCACCAATATTGCAACGTGCCCCCTCCTAGTACTTATAACCTCCTTGGCAGCCAACCTCCTTGGCTCTGGTCTATGCTCCTTGCAATAATTAAGGAGCTTCTCTGATCTGCCGCCCAGACATCCCGTACACAGAATGTCTTGGTAATACATATGCGAATCTGGGCAGCACCACGTCGAGAAGTCGAGTCGTGGTGCCACATTGCACCGCGACTCAATCCCCAACGTCGCTGCAGTCGCTGGCAGATAAAAAACGGCGTGTCTTTGAATTGCCAGTCTTCGAACACGTGCTTCATGCCTTCTGCGTGGCTGTGCACGCGTGCTACAGGTGTACGAGTTGTCGAAGGTAAGGCAGTCGTGCTGGAGTCGGGACAACTGGAGCTTTTGATTGTTTACGACACGACTACACTCATTCCGTGTTGCGAGACACCGAGAAGTCGCATGCCCAGGTGATCCCTTGCGGCGTTCCCACCAAACGTGGCGGAACGGTAGCCCAGGAAAGTTAGCCACCGTTCCAGAACGGCTGCACCAATCTCTTCCTCTGCCTCTTTTAAAATGCGTTCCGGATTAACGAAGGGCGCCCGACTCTCCGCGTGGCTCTAAAGCGACTCCAGTCCGGGGTATACGGTGCCCTTCTTCGGTCGCTTTGTCGATCGATTGAATCGACGGTGGCAACAACGTTCGAACGCAGCAATCCAACGCCCGGCGGTCGGCCAGACTGAGCTGCAGAGGATCCAGTTTGTGCCGTGCTCCACCGAGCTTCGAGATCTACGCAGAGTCGTCTGGCGCACGGGGGTCGCAAGTCGACGTCAAAGCGGCTGTCCCCGCCGTTGCTTCCGACGAGGACGACGAGAAGGCTCCGCATTCCGATGACCGGGGGGCGTCCGGCGATGTCTGCTCAGACTCTCCAGACTGTGGAATGGAGTGCGAGGCCGCGGGTGAGTCTGCTTTCCCGTCGCATACTGTCGGCGTTGCGGCTTTTTTCACGACTCCTACACATCATTTCACTTATTGCGGTGTGGTTAGCCCCATTGGCTCATGTCATAGGGAGCTTCCGTATTAAAGCTGCCCTAAAGACGTTCCTGAGATCGTCTGTTCTTGGTGACAACTCCTACTACGGGATCGTAGCACCAGAGAAATTAAAAAAATATGCTCGTGCGACGTCACATTTTCCTCCTAAAAATGTGATTGAAGTTAGTGACATGCCCCTTTCTGAGTGGAAAACTCTGGAACACGGAATCCAGCGGAGGCAGCCGCGTGACAATGAGCGAGTGCCAGCCAGGCCGTGTGCCCGTTGTCACGGCTCCGCTGGATTCTGTGCTCCAGAGCTTTCCGCTCAGAAAGGGGCATGTCACTAACTTCAATCACATTTTTAGTAGGAAAATGGACGTCGCTCGAGCCTACTTTTTAATTTGTGTGGTGCTAAGATCCTGCACAATGAGTTACCAACAAGAACAGGCGGGCGGATACGGGAATTTCCTGAGGGGGGGTTAGGTGTTGGTCAGCGTACCATATGTTTCGGAACCCCCTTTTCCTTGTTTCACGCCATAAATTTTACATATTCAGAAATCAAGGGAGGGGGGGGGGGGTCAGGGCATCCGGACCCCCCCCCCCCCTTCCCCCTCTAAATCCGCCCCTGAACACAGACGATCTCAGAAACGTCTTTAGTGCACCTTTAAAGTAAAAACAGCCTTGTTACCTCACGTGTGCAGTTTTTACGCATTGACAAGTGCCAGAGAGCCTCCTACCTGATGCACACCTGTTCGGACATTTGCATAGAACGCGACAGACTAGGGCAGGCGAGGCTTACTCGAGGAGTCGCGGTGTAGTTTGTCACACTGAAATTCAAAAGCCCGTATCGACCTTTACTCGACGGCTCCTGCGACTCGCTTCGTCGCCGCTCTGAAGATGGTGTAATGCGTGGGCGAAACAGGAGGCCGGGCGCTCCTGTCAACACGTGTTGGGGCGGTACTTTGGTTGCACCGACGAGCGGACCCCCCGCAGTCTTCCCCTCTCCCCAACCGGGGAACCCTGCAGATCGTGGACCCTGGGGCCCAGACTCCCCCATGGTCCTGGACGCGTCCCTGCACACCCTGGAGCCCATGTCCTACATGGAGATCCGGGACCTGGAGGCCAGCTCGGAGTACGCCCAGGACATCTACACCCACCTCAGGCAGCAGGAGGTGGGTGGGCTTCTTTTGTTCACGCCGCTGCTGATATGTCTAGCAAAAGGACGTGTTGGAAGCATACATATGTATGAAGTAGACTTGCTCCATGCACGCAGCATACCTCTTGCCCGTTGTACGGGCAGTGTGACTGCGGCCTTGCGGGACGGTGCCGCTGCTTCGTTTTGGAACGGCTTCGCCGCGGCTGGCGTGAAGAGCCGCCGAATGGGCCGCTTTCTCGACCGGGGTCGGTTTGCTAGTGAGTGTGGGTATCTCTGCCGGAGGTTCTACTGTCGCATGACTGGCTTCGTGGGGACGAGGTACCTACAAGAAAAACTCGACGTTTACTGTTTTCTGCTATGTTGTCCAGGCTAGCGTCTCTTGTGTTGTGCTGCAGCTCGGCACTGCTGCGAGAGTGCACGGCTTTGTCTTGCATCTCGTGTTCAAGCGCCCTCGCGCAAAGACGACCGTCTAAACGCGTTGTAAACATAAATGAGGTGTAATGTAATGTAAGATGAAGGAACGCCGATTCAGTTGTACGACTTTCATCATCTTCTTCCTTTATTATCTCATTTCTGTTTTTTCTTTTTTAGACGATATAGCGCTCGAGCGAATGGCTTTTACTGTGTGCGAGCACTGTGGAAGATGCGCCAGCCTCGACTCTGCAGGGCAGCATAGGTGGCTGTGAGATTGGCAAATGGCTGCCATAAATAGTATCAACAGTGAGAGATGGGCTAGTTGGTATGTCGTTCCTTTTGACAGAAGTGCCACGAGACATGGACAGAAAGTAAGACGTTGCACAAGCACTAGCACTAGGAAGGCTGGGGACGAGGAGAGAAACCTTTCTTTTCAAAGGTTCGTAGCGCTCTGCCTTTCTCCCCTCGCCTTCCTAGTGCTCGCTCTTTCTCTTTGCTTGGCGTTGCCTTTGCCTGCACTGCACGCAACTAGTGGCATGGAGTACAGGCACTCTCCGTTCTCTGAGCCAGTCACGTCGCCAGATGATCTCCCGCCGGGAGAAATACCCGCATTCACCAGCGAACCGCTCCGGGGAACGTTCCAGACTCGAGGAAACCCCAATCTGGAGATTGATGCAGTAAACTGGTCATCTACCAACCTGGGAACAGTGGAAGCCGTGAGTTTTCGGGGGAATTCACCGATTCCGTGAAACCCGAGGATTCTCCACCTCGATCGGCATCGTTCTGGGAATTTGTGCTTCCCTTTCTCCGAGTGACTGCAAACAATGAGCGTCTGGTGCAGCACACATTGCTCGCGACTCCGCTTGAAAACTAGTCTTGGTGGAACCCGAATTCTTGCCTCTCGAAACTCTGGCACCAAGACTACTTTGTCCGCTTGCGCTTGCCCCAGTGGGCTTGCCCAGAGGTTTATTTAAAACTGGACATTTATTCTGCGAAAAATGTCAGACTGATAAGGTAACAGGATTTTTTAGATGCCCCAGTGAGGAGGTTAAAGGGATACTACAACGAAATTTCGGTGCCCTTTTTTTGGTGTATATGTGTTCAAAGGAGCAGCATCACATCAAACATACCAATATCTTGTTAAAAAAGTCACGAAAAGGAATTTTAAAACGAATTAAGTGATTAGCAAAGAGCACCTGCTGGATGTCTCTAACGCCTCGCTTGTAACGCCCGTCTAGGAACCTTGACAGCTAGTGACGGAGGTTGTCTGGCGTCCGGCCACGACGAGAGAAGGGGGCAACGAGGAACTCCCCTCTTCCTGAGAATGCCTTTTGTGTGTCGCAGAAGTCCCTATTGTCCGCCTACAAGATTACAGAAGATTAACCCGTCACTCAAAATTCGTACAAAAGCAGCCGCTTCGGTGGCTGGAACGATTGCGTCGGATATCACGTGGTCTCCGCTGGGCCTTATCCGAGCGCTTGTCAGAGTGGGCCCTTTATAACGAAAAATACAGCCACTAGGCTCAAAATACAAACGTGCGCTTGTCATTTACGGATATTGTGGATCAAATTACACCTATTTTTGAACACGACGGGAATATTTCAAATTTCGTTGAAGTATCCCTTTAAGGAGCCCCCGTTGCTCACAAGATGTGCAGGAAGTTTATAGCTTGTAGTTAAGCATTGAGAGAAGGCTTAGATCTGCTAAAGTGGCACTTAAACCGAGGAAACACTTCTCTTAAAGGTGCGGACGTTCGAAGAAATTCGGGAGTTTGGAGAGTCTTGGACGAACCCGCCATCTCCCCTGAAAGGCAGTTTGGGAATCCAGACTAGTGACGCCGCATTCCCCGATTGTTTCGCAAAGCACAAGAGCAGTTGACCATAGCTACCACTCGGATTGGGACTCCGCGAACCTTAGATTCGGCGTCGAGAGGCTCGGGCAACATCGTCTCGCTCAGTCGCGGAACCGCTTAAGCTGCTCCGCAACTTCCGACGAAACCTCGGTTAACCGTCAACGACGCGTTTGAGCACTTGAATGAAACTGTCCATCGTGCAGGCTTCCCACAAGTCCTTCAAAGTGTCGGAACTCTGAGCCGTCATTTTCAATGCCTCGTAAATTGTAGAAAAAATTTTAAGAATGTCACCCCGGGCCAGCGAGTGGGAGCTGCCACGGTCGGCTGCTAGTCGGCACTGTACGAGAACTGCAAAGGGTGGAGGACCTCAATCAGGCCTTCTCGCGTGCGTCTCTCACGGCTTTCTTTTTCTCTCCCCGGGTGCGCGAAGGAGAAGCTGACCCCGAAGCCGACTTACATGAGCAAGCAGCCGGACATCACGTCCTCGATGCGCGCCATCCTCGTCGACTGGCTGGTGGAGGTGGCCGAGAAGTATCGCCTGCACCCGGAGACTCTCTTCCTCGGCGTCACCTACGTGGACCGCTTCCTCTCCGCGATGTTGGTGATCCGCAACAAGCTGCAGCTCGTCGGCACAGCCGCCCTCTACATCGCTGCGTGAGTGGACTCTTCGTGCGTGAGAGCGAAGGTTGTTACGTCACGCTCGTGCTCCGATCTTGATTACACCCAACACTGATCCATGTTCTTTCTTTTTTTATGATTAGGGCAGCTTTTATGGCACAAGCCCAATTTATGTGCCCCAAGCATTGGTGATGGAAGTGCTGCGCCAAATTGCATTATGAATCCTGGTACTTCTTGCGTCAGAATGCCACTTTTGCTAAGACTAGTGCCTCACATGTGCCTAGATGGGCCTTAATCAGAAAAAAAATTAATGGTTTATTATTGGTCCACTTTAATATTTGGGGAAGTAGAGGGAAAGAAAAATTTAACAAATGAGTTTCACGGCGTCTCTACAGATCGTATAGTTTGCCTCGTCTTATGTCAGAGCACTGGCGAAGGCTGGAACACCCGCACCTAAAAACACTCGTATTACAAGTGGCACGTCACGGGGCTATTTATTGCACTTGACTGGTTTAGCCGATGAAAGCACGGGTACAATAAGATGATGAACTCCACGATGTTGCGCTTTGAAGCGGCAATTTAACTGGGCAGAGCCGTTAGTGCTGGGCATCGACTGCTCTGGCCGCTTGATGCATTGGCTGGTTAATCGACGACGTCTAAATTTCCAGTCGATGTCGGAGACCGAGTCCCGAGAAACCTTTTGCAAAATATTAAGATAGTTGATTGCAGCTACTCGTACTCCTGATAAGAGCACTCAGTTATCGTGTGTGCCACATGCCTCCGTCCCGTGGCACTTGCGACGCTTGCGTCAGCCTTCACTGCCTTTCATCAGTGTGCGCACGTCGAGCTTCACCGCTTTGCACCAAAATTGCTACGAGCAGCGGCTGTTGTGGGGCAGCGCCTGGCCTAACGCGATGGGCATACAAATTATGCTCCTATTTATTACAGGTTGAGCTTTGTCCTAATTGCAAATTAATCTCAACGAAAAAAAAAGCAGAGAAAAGGGGAGAAAAAAACAAGGGTCTACCTCATTGAAAATTCTCATTTATATGGGAAATTTCTGTGTCCAATAAACACATATGAATCATACAAGATATATAAGAACATATAAGAACCGTATAAGAACCATATAAAAGCTATATAAGAACTATATAAGATATATGAGAACATACAAGCAGCATATAAAACTCTAGCGGGAAGTTTCTTATAAGTTTCTTATGGGGTTCCTATATATCTTATATAATTCTTATATAGTCCTCATATAACTCTTATATGGTTCCTATATGTTCTTATATGTTCTTATATATCTTGTATGATTCATATGTGTTTATTGGACACAAGATATTTCTCATACAAATGATTTTTTTACTAGGGTATACCAGGGGTGGCCAAGCTGCGGCTACTGAGCAGCATGCGTCTCTTCGGATAGTAGAGTGCGGCTCGCGGCTCCCTCTCCTACACCCCCCCCCCCCCCACACACACACACACACACTTCCCCAAGCAAATGGAACGAGTTTTAAATCAAAAGACAGATTGCGGTTTGGTAGTCTTATCTGCTTTTAACTCGGATAGATTGAAAGTAGTTTTCGAGTTTCGTTTATTGCTCTCAACGAAAGGTGTGCCCCCCCCCTCCCGCCCCCCCCCCCCCCCCCCCCCCCACGGCTCTTGGAAGTTTCGTGGTTTTGTTTGCGGCTTCTAGGCCGGGTCAGCCTGGCCACCCCTGTAAACAACTTAATTTTTGCGAGGACCTGATTTTTGCGAATCGCTTACAATTCGGGAAAAATGGCTCCCGCGAACAATTTCGATAAAATGTAAACGCATTGGATTCTATATTGAGAATCATCCCACCGCATCGCGAAGTTTAAACCCGCAAAATATTCCAAAACTTCAGCTTTGACCTAAATCGCGAAATATTGAGCCCGCGATGAAATCAATTGTTTATTGTATATGCATTCGTATAAATACGGGAGGCACGGTAGTCCCCGTGCAGCTGTAGATCGAAAGAGCAGCAAACTGATCAACTCCGATTCCTATGCCACTAAGGGCAGTGCCACCTTTAAAGCTCAAGTGTAGGCTTTTATAATATTTTTGTGTGGTTGTCTTTGCAGTTTAGGATATGTCTCGAGTTTGGTAGGTTCATTAAACTTACGGGACAGATTTCTCTTGGTAGACGTGTTAGTGGATATGCTGTTTCTTGCTTGTATTTTAAATAAATTATATTTACAGGCTAAACAAACTACCAAGTGTAAAAGGGAGAGAGGATTTATTCCAGTGGAGTGTGGCACTATGATTCACTTTTCAATAATTTCAGTACGGATTGCACATGAAACCTACTCTGACTAAAGCCTTATCTAAGACTTCCTTTACTCCATATCTGTTCTTATCACAAACGGTAATAGTTAGCATGCTCGAGTGTCAGGGGAACCCTTGATCACTATCATAAATGAACTCGTTAAGATGCAATCTCGCAGTCGTCGAATATAGTTTGTCGGCAATTTCTAGATCTCGGCGTCCTCGAAGTGCGAGGTTGACCTACAGATCTACCATTCTGTAACAAAGCAAGAGGACGATACCGAAACGGAAGTTTCCTAAACAAAATAAATTATGCGCCTACAAAAAGTGACACTGCACAATAAAACATTGATTTCATCGCTTGCCCTTGCATACTGCTACACGTTGAAAAAAAAAATAGACTGCCCGGTTGAATGGGGCAGGCAGCAAACCCAGACACGATATGGAAGCGCACCCTGCTCTATTCGGGCGTGGCACTCGAAGCGTTAAAGCTCGTCCACGCAGTTCCATCGACTGCGTTGCGTTGCCCATTGGCTCATCGTAGGGGTCACCATAGCAACAGCTCAACTCAAGCAGCCTCAACGAGACTCAAGCGGCTGCAGTCGTGTGTAGGAGCCTTTAAGCCTTTCGTGACTTATTCGGCACCTCCTCCTAGACGAGCTGCATTCGACGAACCCATAGCAGAGTTCACACCATTTGTTGTGTTTGGGTTTTGCCAGACGGTGGCGTACAGAAGCTCTTCCGAACGAGCAGTTTTGGCACGACTAGCTCGTACGGCCAGAAGACTGCTCTCGTTTCTCTCTTACCCTTAGTAAATGCGCCATTTGTCTGTAGACCAATCGGTGCGTCTGACGCGGCGCTGCAGGAAGTTTGAGGAGATCTACCCGCCGAAGGTGTCGGAGTTTGTCTTCACGGACGACACGTACACGAAGCAGCAGGTGCTCCGGATGGAACAGCTGGTGCTCAAGGTGCTTTCGTTCGACATGGCGGCCCCCACCATCTACTACTTCCTGCTCCGCTTCGCGAAAGTCGGCAAGGCCCCGGACACCGTCAAGCACCTGGCTCACGTGAGAGGCTTTCTTTGATTAGGTGCCGCCTTTGTAACCAAAGGCCGGTGCGCACTCTTGCGACCGCTTGCGACTTGATAAATTACGACCTTGCACGATATCCTAATGGGGAACTCGAATGGGTTCTAAGATTGTTGATGACGACGACTCAATATGCGTGCCCAAGTCATCCTAAAAAGACCCGAAATTACGCTCGTGGGTGACAGATTTTCGTATTAAAAATCTAACCGAAGACTGTGACACACACTTTTTTCTGCGCCTTAAAGCAGACACTGGGGGCTCCGTCGGTTGGCATTTTCACTAGAGCCTAGATTGAAGAGAGGATCCATCTTAAACCATGGGTAGCGTTTACAATTCAATGGTGAACACCTCCTGTGATGATCGGTTGCAGGCGCGCTGTGTTTGCGGGTGGCGAGGAGGAAAGGCGGAGACGTTTGCAGACGATCGACGCTTATGTCACCTCCTTGCAGCTCGTTTTGCCAATGTGGCCCATAAACCAAGTCACCCGGATCGGGCACCCAGTGATTTATTTCTTGTCGAAATATAGTGCTTGATGCACTTAAAGAGCACTATTACAGATATTTGTGATTTCACGTAACTCCCTCTTTTCATTGGTCCAATTTTATGGAGGGGGTGGAGACCGGAAGATGCCCCTCCCTCCCTACTCCCCGAAGAGGAAGTAGTCGTGGTGTATTTTTTGCTGGTAGTTTACTATGACATCTTGCCATCTAGAACTGGTCATCTTTATTGAACAATAGGCCATTAAAAACAAGCGTCTACGAAAAGCACGGGAGTGCCCCTTTAAGACAAGAAAATACTGGCACCACCTATGAGACAACTTTGGAACTGCATTTCACTGCAGCGAAGGTTTTGCAGTATTTGCGGTGTTTAATTTATTGAAACGGTCGTTTATGACATTACCGTAAAGTTCCGAAAGAACGCCCACACAAAATGAAGAGATTAATGGTGAAAAACAGGGGCGGGCTATCTTTGGGGACGCCACAACAAAACTTCGCGGACAAAAACGCGGGAACCCGCTATAAAGTCGCGTGTCACACAAACTATAAACCGCTATAATCTCGCTGGTGCAACAAATTACGCGGTTGATGCGATTCCTGTCTGACATTGCGTGACGTCTGACAGGAATCGGGGATGGGCGATGTTTCGGAATTTTTATGTTGCAGATATTTACCCAGAAAAATGGGATGGGCGATCTATCGGGGGGGGGGGGGGGGGGGTTCTCACAGAACTTTACGGTAAGGTTTTCAAGCCAGTACGGAGAGAAAGTCGGCTTTTCGCAGAGGATTTGTGGTGACGTCAGAACGACGCCGGGCTCTGATTGGCTTTGATGGAAAGAATAGTGGCTAGGCCTAATGCTAGGTGCCTTGAGGTCTACCCACTATATTTCTGCATTAGCCAATAAGAAATCATCGTTCTCACATTATTGACACCCCTGCAAAGAAGCAAACCAACTTGCGCTCTGCATAGCAAAAGAATGATGTGAATTAAAAAAAATGGGAATGTTCAGAAATCGCAAGAGTTCCACAGCTGCCCGACAGATGGCGCCGGGGGTGCTCTTGCACGGTAAGGGACCGCAAGAGGTTGTGCTTTGCATAACGTGCTCTTCACATCACTGTTTTGTGGACGCATTTTGCCGGTCTATGCAGTTGTCTGCTACGCATTTTATGACGTAGATTTTATGTAGATTTTGCCGGCAATGCCATGGAGCTGCGAAAAGCCATTTTCGTCGTTTAGGAATCGGAGGAGTGTAGCAGTTCAGCCATTTCAGGAGTGAGAATGGGCTCCGTGTCTCCACTCCTGGGAGTTGAAAGGAATAAACTAAATCCCCGGAATTTCGGCGGGGAAGAGAGTGCTTGGTCCACAACACTGGCCTAAAGGGGCATCTACCCTTTCCATCAAGCGTGTTAATTATGAGAAGTTTTGAAGTGTCTTCTGTGTGCTTTTAAACCAGTTGCCACTCGAGTATAGCGCGGCATTTCTTCCAGTATCTGTGCGAGCTGACGTTCCTGGAGGACGACCCGTACCTTCAGTACCTGCCCAGCATCGTTGCCGGTGCGTCCTTGTGCCTGGCAAACCACACACTCAACCGATACCCGTGGGTGAGTCTGACTTATCAATCGGTTAGCGTTTTTATTCCCGTGGTGAACGGCAATGAGGATGTAGCTACAGAAGTAGCGGTGCTAACAATCCCCCACCACTTTAGGGGTATTCACTCGAGGGAGAAATCCCGGGGATTTCTCCCCGGCACGCGCGCATTACGAGATAAAAACGCGAGGCTTTTGCACATCGCAAAGCCTGACGTTTTCGTCGTGGAATGCGCGTGCCGGGGAGAAATCCCCGGGATTTCTCCCTCGTGTGAATACCCCTTTAAAGGGATACTGAATCGAAATTTGAATTTCGCAAAATAAGGCTCTAGAAGCGTTGAATGGGACTCTACGAACTCCGAAACATTGCTCGTACATCGATATCTCAAACGGATGGCCGCACTTTTCGAAAAGAAGGGCGCGATCAAGCGAGGCCTCTGACATCACTGTCCTCCGGGAGAATTTGAGAATGAGGGGGAGCGGCCTCGCTTCTCTCCTCCTCGCTTCGGTTCACCAGCTCGACACGGGACGTAGTGAGGAGGAGAGGGAATAAGAATCGTGACGTGCCTTGCCTTGACGGCCTCGTCGGCCGGGTTTAGTCGGGCGCTTCTCTTCTAAAAATATGGCGATCCGTTAGAGATATCGCTGTATGAGTGATGTTTTTGGGTTTTGCATCGTCCCGCCTATCTGTCCAGCCTTGTTTTGTAAGTTCGAAATTTCGGTTCAGTATCCCTTTAAAGGAGCTGTGCAACGATTTTAACGTTAAAAGAACTGGCATTTTCTGCTTTTGATATTGTTCACTGTGTCACAAAAGGCAGGAAACACACCCCTTTCATCGAAATGTTCCGATTCCGCCGCGTAATAGCGAGGCAAAACTTGGAATATTTCCCGACCTGCAGCCACGAGCGGCGGCCATGAGAAACAAGCAGCGTGACGTCACTTGGGTTGTTGTAAAAAAGATAGCAAGTTGTGCGAATACCTACTCTATAAAAGGTAACTTTTCTATAAATCTTGTCGTTCCAAAATATATATAAATGCGTAAAAACCCTGGTATCATCGACAAGACTTTTATTATACGGAGTTTTAGTGGCGTTATCTATCCTAGGTCCACAAAACCGCGAATAGCCACCAGAAGCCGGAGCGGGAGGGGGACAGCGCCGGACGGGCAAGGACGGGTATGGCCGGACCCGGATGAGACTTTCCTCCTTTCACCGTATATTTCGCGGGGCGCCCGCCAGCACGTGGTCACGTGGTCGCGAGCGGATAAGTTCTCGCTGCTCGCTGATGGCTCTAAAGAGCCATCAGCGAGCAGCATTCCGGAACCCCGCGCCTACTCAAGTCAAGTGACGTCACTGCGGACGTGACCCGGAAGACGATGTACGAGTTGAGAGGCGGCAAAAACCTGGATATTTTTCATTTTTTTTAAAAATAAAAACTAGGGTATCCAGTCAAAATCAGTTTTCTGTAGTTTACTGCAGAAGTGTCAGGCATCAACTTTCACAATTATTTAACCAAAGCCCTGAAATTGTTGCACAGCTCCTTTAAAGGCCGACTTCGCGCTTTCCATGTTTGCTGTCCTCCTTTCCTATATGCTCTCCAGTTCTTGCCTCGCCCCAACTTGGCTCTTCTCGCAGCTTAGGAAAGGGGAAAGCTAAGAGGATTGTCTTCCCTGCAGTAAACCGAGGTTGTACGTCGGCATTTCAAGAGACAATGGCACCTCCGCAAAATTACTTTTATTTTTTGCCAGGCGGTTTAATATGGTGTCGGGAGACTACCAACCAGTTCAACGCGTGTTTCGTAAGTTACGACAAATAACGAGTAATAGAGGTAGTACCGTCAGTAGCACAGCACGAAGAAGAAAGGTGTATATTCACGGCCTAAGAAAAATGGGCAACGTTTTCAGTAAAATTGGTAGCACATTTAGCGTTTTGTTTCATATGAATTCAAGAAAACTTAGTTTGAAACTGTGGAATTTGATTTCCGCAGTTTCGAAGCCTGAATTTCCATGAAATTCAGGCTTGGAATTTAAATTTCAACTTTTTAACCTTTCAGTGTTCAATTCAATGTTCAATATTCAAATTTTTCTAACTATCTATAAGAATATTTGATGTCTTCGGATTCGTAAGTTTCAGAAAGCTTAACATTTTCGAATTATTCGAAACATTGAACCTTAGCAGAGTTATGTTGCAAACTTTTCGAATTCTGATCTAAGAGAGGTTTGAACATTTCGAAACCTTTAGAACTGGAACTTTGGGAGGTTCGCGGCATCCCTAAAAAACATTTGTAAAGCTCTTGAGGGTAACTTTCATTGGTTCGTGCTTGTCGATGCGGACGTTCCCGTTGTAGGTCCTGCAACAGATGCTGCGATCGTAGACTTTGCGTGCGCCCGGGGCAAACACAAAGTGACGTTGAAGAGGCACTCGGGAAACTCCGACGACTGTGGAGATGCGAAACACCTTATGGCTACTTCGAAACAAAGCGGAGTGCGGTGGCGGTGACAGTGTTCTTGCAATGCCTGGAGCAATTCGAGGAGAACTCGTGCCAGGATGAAATCATCTGCAAACTTCCATTTAGTTATTCTTTTACTCGACAAATCGGCTGCAAGATGTTCATAACCAAGGTGGGTTTGATTAAAGCTACGGTCAGAGTCTACCGTAGTCTTACCATCCACCTTCAAGGTGTTGGCACTATTTTTTTTGCCTCTCTCGCTTTTATCGAATTACCACCATATCAAATTTTTTTTGCTGTCCCCTTGACTTTATTATAGCTAAGGATTACTGTAGTTTGAACGCCACGTGACCAGAGAAAAGAGTGAGCGCCACTGAAACCGGCTGTTTTTGGGCGGAGAGAAAACGAATTTCCAGCCAATATATTTCGAGGACACCTACGCACTTATGAGTTGTGGATACGAAAGCATGAATGTCGACCTTCCGTTCCCTAAGTTCGTCTGCGGCGTCATGGCGTGGACGGCCAGATTTCGCTTGGCGACAGCAAAGCACGCGCTCTCGTGAAGTGCCCGTGCCGCGCTGAGCTCGTCCGTGCACCCTTTCTTGAGTTTGCCCGGACGGGCTCTGCGGTCAGGCTTGCACTGCCGCACCTTGCCAAGTTGCTGCGTGCGCTGCGCCACCATGGAGAGGACTTCTCTGGTGGCGTCCAGGGGAACTACGCCGCACGAGAGCCAATGGGAGCCTCGTTCCTTGGAACTATGACATGTGCCAGCCAATGGGCCACCAGATTTCTGCTACAGACGACATTTGGACGGGGGAAGGTGCCGTTTGGCGCGGCTTCAATGCTGATGGCTGTGGTTCGCTCCATGGGTCCAGTTAATGCTTTCGCATTAAAATTGTGTTATGGGTGGTTCGGCTCTTGTAGGTCATGTTAAAATGAGAACCTCAGTGAGCATAGATACCCTGCCGCCCTCGTACAGTAGTTAGTTCTTCATTGTACTGAGAGCAGGACTGCCTTTTTAATGCTCCAGCTGTGACGTTCCATGCCAGTGTTTGTTTTGCATGTTGTGTTACTCTAGTTTAGGTGGGCGGTTCCTTGCCCACTTGACCGATTGCGCAGCGGGCAAGCGGCGCGCTTGTGACTTTTTATGCAGGCCTTCATGAGCCATAGTTTGGGCATAAAAGCCATTGAAGTCTGTTGTGCTTAAAGGGCTACTCCCACAACATTTTTTTCAGCCACCCGAGCTAACTCAGTTCTTTGAATCGCCGGTCTTTTACCCCCTCTGGTATACTTTTTTGTATCGCAAAAGTCAAAATAGTTATTGTGAAATGAGTAAATGAAGGTTAGGTCAGACACAACATTCAAATATACCTGTGCTTTTCAGTTTCACATTACAGACGAGCAGGGAGTATAAATACTGTATTCACACAATTGTAAGTGACCCCCCCCCCCCCCCCCCGTAAAAAAATCCACAGCAGCAGTAAAGAAAGATGATAGTTTAGAGGCACATTCTATGGCAAGCATGTGAGAACGGCAGGGCGTCTCTCAAAACCTCGGCCTCCAGCATGCATTCGATGCCTTCTGCCGTGCTTTGGTCGCTCACGCACATGCGAGGCGCACGAGATGCCGCAGAGTTATAAAAGCTGGAGGCGGAACAACTGAAGCTGCCCCCTGTCCTTCTTACTCTTTGTCTGCTACTAGACACTGATTCGTCGGCATCGTCCTAGAAACTCTCGCACTTAGCAAATGACCGCATCTTTCGCGCTTCCTCTGTGATCGCATCGCCCGTCACGGGCAGCAGCCGATCGCGCGCTTCTGCGACGTACGTTACAAGCTTGACCTCTAATTTTGGAAAGCATCTGGACCTATCCAGACTCTGGCCCTCGGAAGCCACTCAGTTTGTTGCCATGATTAAGCCCCTCTGCCGTTGCAGACGCTGCTGGAGCACCGCCCGTTTTGACGGGTCGAACTTACGTCCAGCAGCGCTGTTTTCGGTCGCTTTCGTGTGAAGTATGGGCCGTAAATGAGCACCGAAAACCGAAGGTGCCTGGATCACAAGTGTCGGTAGAAACTTGTTTGGCTTTCCAGCAAGCTTCCATGACCTCGACTTTCGATCAAACGATGTGCGACCGTGCATTCTGCGAAAAGCGGGGGAGTGAAGCTGTTCCATGGTCGTTCCGAAGGGGCTCTTGCGTCAAGTGCCGTCACCCTTGTGATTCAGGCGCGTCCGTTCACCGCCGAACATTCAAGCTGGTTCGCGAATGGAAATAAATAATACTTTTTCGTGCAATAATGAAGAGGAAAAGTTGTAAAATGAACGTCCAGAATTTCGCAATGCTACAGATTCAACCGGCTGAAATCGAGCAGAAGTGTTCTTGATGTCGCAATTTATTCATTTTTGTCGGCTGTGGAATGCTTTGGTTCTACAAGTCGACCTACAATCAAATAAAATGCAGTACAGTATGCAGAAGTCGGCAGCCGGGGCTTGCGAGCACTCGACTTGGCATGTGTTTACATTTGGGCGATGGGTAGAACTGAGGGCGAGAAGAATTGACGGTGGGTTTGAACGGCGAGGGCTCGTTGGCTCTAGAGAACTCGGGTTGCGGGGAGCAATTCGGAAGGAAAGAACTGAGCGGAGGCGGCAGAGGGGATAGAAGAATAACAGATGGCTACGGTTAACATATGCTCAGAGTTGAGTCAATTTTGAGGCAAATCAGGGACTATGAAAAAAACGCAGGAGTGCCCCTTTAACTTCCGCAATCCATACGTCTTTTCCTCCTCATTGCGTGCAGTCCTCGGACCTGGTCCTCTACCCTGGCTATAACGTGGAGGACTTCAAGGAGTGCATCCACAGCCTGCACAGCAGCTTCTGCAATGCTGGCACACAAGCACAGCAGGCCATCCAGAAGAAGTTCCTGTCCTCCAAGTGAGTCTACTGCACTGCATGCCTTTTTGTTCTGTGCTCCCTTGTGAGCCCTTGAATTTCATTGTCAAGACTCCTGTGACAAAAATGACCATGTGGGGAACATCGATTTAAAACTTGATATCTTGGCCTTGTCTGGCCGCTTGTTTCGAGAAAGCAGCGATGATTGACGGTACTTCGGGCATGGTGTCAAACATCCTTTGCAAAAATGGGAAGACATTGGTGAGAACATCGGAGGTGGCATTGTTGCTGTCATGCAGTATAATCACTGGTAGTACCATTGCGTTCAGAACGATGCGGTTCTACTTCCTTTGGGAACTCCCAAGTCCCTTGTAGTTTTACAGGGAGCTGTTAAGGGCTAGTGTCCCCAACTACCGTCATCTATGAGCAATGGCGGCAACCTTTCCAGCCTTTCCAGTGTCATCCTTGAGGTACAGCTTTGCTGGTCTTCCTTGTTCACCAGAGTGGAAAGGCTGAAAGTTTTTGAAAGTTTATTTAGGGGAACCCTTTTATGGTATTTGTGGCAGTGAAGAGGCATATTACTCGGTGTTCAAGCAAACTTAAAACCGCTGCACTCTGCTAGCCCCCCTGATGCGAGATAACCAAATGCCACATTCTTCAAGAACTATCGTTCCTTTGGCTTTTCGCAGCAGCTGTATGGTGATAGTGCCAGGCGTTGCCATACTTTTATCTATGTCGAATTCGGGTGGTCAATCGTCGGCAATTTATTTTTCCAGAAAACTGGCAATAGTGTTTCCTACCTGCCAATTCTTCCGAATTTTTTGAGAAATTTCTGAATTGGGACTAACTTTAAAATTTTATAAATGTTGCGTCAAATTTAAAAAAAAAATGTGATAATTCTTTTTAATTTTTTTTGTAAAAATTGCGGTATATTGCACATCTACGAGAGGGCGATAGGTACCATCCACGGCAGCGTCGTGGTTTTTACTATTTGTCTATCCAGTAGCCACGGATCCAAAACCAATCCAAAGCCCAAAGCCTTTGTTCATGTGTTTGGCGCCGCACGTTGGTTTGACGTGTTGTGCCTCGCTGTTTTGGCCAATTTCGTGGCAAGCAGAGCGGTGCCTTTTTTGCACTTATATTTATAGCATTTCCCTAGTCGCGCTGGCTTCGCAGCGCAATGGCGAACTCCAAACCTCAAAAGAGGTACTTTCGAGTGTTCCTGAAATCCTACATGTTAGAATTCCCGTGCTTCGTGCCGTCAAAGAAGGGAGAGAAGTTTGCATTCTGTCACACGTGCACGTGTGATGTCAGCGTTTCGCGCGGTGGCAAGGCTGACATTAAGTTGCACATCGCTTCGCATAAACACCAGAGATAAGTGCCTGCCTCTAAAAACTTCCCCCGCGGCTGCGGGAGTTTTACGAATTTGAAAGTCCACAGGTTGGCAAGTATGGTGTTTGCATTGCCAGTTTCTGGCTGGTGCGCACAGTTCAGGTGGTCATTCTCCTCCGGCAAGCACCGAAACCTTTCCGGCGATTTTCTCGCCCAAGCGGCCAGGCAGGCGGGCGCCAGACTGTATCCGGTGTCATCACCTCCGAAATGGGAGGGGTCAGTGAGAAAAACTAAGCAAAAGAACAATTCTGATCCGAAGTCTCTATGTGGCAATTTGAGTTGGTTGGTTCAAGGTCGTAGACAAGCGCCGAAAAAGGGACAGGGACAAAAAGTTGACGTAAATACTGGCCCCGAGTTGCACCAGTCTTTACGTCAGCTTGTCCCTGTCTTTGATGGGAAGTCACATGAGCAGCCGATACTCGAGCCAGTCCAAGCCATTGGGACACGGGTGACGCGGCAGTAGCAGCCTCGCTCGCGGTGTCTTGCGGTCAAGCGCCGAAGTAAACTGCCACCGTCTGGCGTTCCATGTTCAGTTGCTGAGGGTCACGTAATGTACCGCCGGCACGTTTGTTGTTGTCGGTATCACCGGCTCGGTCTTGCCGGCAATTGACCACCCGAATTTGCCATTAGTGTGGACACTTGGAGAGAGTGCAGTGACATACAGTAGGTTCGCAACAGTTCAAACTCGGATATGCCATACTTCTGGTTAGTTTGAACTAAATTTAAAAATTTCGGTTGTTTTACTCTGTTTCATGCAATTTTTTAATCAAATTTCATAAGCCATTTACTTATAACGACGTGCATTTCAGTATTTTTTTTCTCGCTGCCCACATTGAGTGCTTCTGTCCAAGCATCGGTGCCTTGCGCAGAACCAGCACCTGCAAAGCTTGTATCTGCGGGTGTTGCTTTTCCGCAGTGCTCCGGTGCTCGTTAAGAAGCATGCTCAATGGGGCTAAAGCAGGGGACGCATGAGCAATGAAAGTGCAGCAGTTTCAATAGCAACATGCACGAACGCTGTGACGGGGCGCCGTGCCATAGCTACGGCGTGCGCGCAAGTTGCCATGTAAATTGCAGTGCAGCGCCTGTTTTTACCGCTCGTGCGTGCCTACCTGACAGTCCACAACAGACACCTTTTTTGCTAGATGAACAAACTTAATTTTGTTTTAAGGTGTCACGTGCTGTCTAAACAGTCCACAATAAACATTTTTGAGGGGTCAAATAACTTGTGTTATGTTTCACCGATGTTTTATGCATGGCATACCTGCTTATGATTATAGGCCCATGTGGAGGAAATCATAAAATATTTGCATTGTATGTCTAGCCATTCATACACCAAATTGTAATGTTATCTTGCATCGTATTTAAATGAATTTATGATAACTCGAGAGAAATTCGGGGCTTCCTGGAGCGTGAAATAATGATCCTACTGTAGCTTCCAAGGTGCCCGATTGTGTGAACGGCATGGCAGTGACTAGGAATGCAGGTGCCTCTTCTTTCCTTTTGGTAAATTGCCGCTTCTCGTTGCACATTGTTTCCTCCTGCTTCAAAAATGCATTGCTTGTGCATGTCATTGGAGTGATCCGTCAGGCAGGGCCTGTTAATGCAGCAGACAACAAGCAGGAACGTTTGAGAGAGCAGACGACAGTTCAAATGATGAGGCGCCCGTTTGGACTTCAAGACTCGCTGAACGTAGTCCGCAGGTGGTCCGTACAGCTTAGCGGTTTGCCCGCGTTCATGTTCTCGGCTTCACGACTTCTCCTGGGCTAGCACAACTGCACTGTTTGTGTATGCTAGCTGGACACATTCTTTGTCTGGTCTTTGTCAGCGTAGCTGAGCTGGTGTAAATATGGCTTTATAAACAAGCTGTTAAGGTTGGCTTGCACTGCTTACGGACGAGTGACAGCTCTCGGGATCTGTTCCGACAAGTGAACACGCCAGTGCCGTCCTTTGAGTAGCTGCGGAATGCTTGCCGTTTGCATAAAGTTAAATTTTTTTTTTATTCATGCACCATTTTTTCTCACTTGGCTCGAAAATCTTTTGGAGGTGTTACGAACGATTATATCCCATTGGTATTAACATACATATGACGTTGCAAATACCACAAAACCTTCGCTCTAGTGAATTGCAGCTCTGGAGCTGCCTCCTTAATGGCGCCAGCGTGCCAGTGCATCTAGCCGCCCCGTTCACCCGCTCTGTGTAGCTCGGTCGATGTGGTGTCTGGCTGGGAATGGCTTGTTCCTTGTTCCATCCCCATCCGAGAGTAATCTTTCATTTGTGTTTTAATAACGGGAGTATACGCTTCATACCAGTTCAACCTACGTGGAACAGTCGAGAGTTTGAGCAGTTCTAAAATGGAGTATAAACAAAATCTGCCTTAGAAATATGGAGCCCTACTTAGACCTACACCGTTTTGGTGCTGCCTGCCTTCCCAAGTACTAGCACGCTTACCGCCGAATGCACAAATCTTGCTCCAATCTAGGTACCCCTTCACTTCCTCGAGGAAAGCGAGAGGCTGAATAAGCAGCCTAGGTCGCCTATTCGTCCTTGCGATGGGCCGGCGCCGGCCCTCGCGCCTGCCTCGAGGAAGTGGAGGGGCACCTCGATTGGGGCGAGGGTTGTGATTTCGGCGCTTAGTTCAGTGAACGTCCCTTGGATGTCCTAACGTTCTGGGGATTTCCTCCACAGGACATCCCCAAAACATTAAGACGTCCTAAGGAATCGCAGAACAAAGTGTGCTGCTAGAGTTCTTGTCGCTCACACCGCCTTTTGTTTTTCCTCCACACCAGGTTTCACTACGTCGCGAATATGAAGCCTGCGTGCACGCTGCCCTTGTAGCGGATGACTCCGCGTCACCACCACTGCCCTTCAAACTCAGCACGGCGAACGTTTTTTGGCTCGCTTGAGATTGATCCTGGTGGCTTGTAGCCTTGTCTGCAGTTCGCATTAAAATGAGCAAGCATAGAGCGCATCTCGCTGCTTTTACTCGCCCCGCCCCCCCCCCCCCCCCCCCCCCCCAACTTCAGTTTTTAATTTTCATGGTCTGTCTCTGAGATGCTCATTTACAAGGCAGATATGATTCGGATGCATCATTCAGAGACATTTCCACTGTGTATGAAAGGGTGCTATTTTTACCCAATCGCCGCATCCTTACTTTTTTTATTTTAACAAACCGACTCCACTTTTAAGCCCTGTACATAAGTGTCGAACAAAGTATTCTTTTTAAGCCAGTATGTGTCCTGTCCAATAAATGTACTGAACCAGATTTCGTTGGTCTGCATTGGTTTGTTTTGAATGAATGCGATTGGTTCAGGAAAGTGTGCAAGTCTGTGGTTTTCGCGAGGCTTAGAAAATAGGTATGCTTTTAACTCTCAATTCGGACGAAGATGTTTGTACTCTGACATGGGGCTAAACTACCATTGTGCCGTAAACCCGTCTACGGCGGGAAATGCAAAATGTTTCCGGGCAACGTATACTCCGGTGACCTGAACTAAACAAAACTAGTGACTCGGTTTGCGATCGGCCCGAATGCTTCAACCCGAGTGAAAATGTCATTTTTGATTCTGGGGTGTTTTAAGCTAAGATGTTCATGGGGATACGGGGAGTGGAGGAGACGAGATGTAACGCCTAGTAGCAATGGTAGGCTTATTGACCGGTGCACAGTTAAAAGAGGATATGGCATGAAATTCCGCAAATGCGGAAGGGCAGATGCGTGAAAGTCATGCAGGTTGGGAAGTCTTGGCGAGACCGCATCCCACACACACCTGAGAGAAGCGCAAAAAAAAAAAAAAAAACGAAGCAAAACTGTAAAAAAAAGTAACCATGAAAGAAAGTGTCATTTGAAGTCCCAAGCAAATTATGCGGAAACCCCTCTTGCCTCTTATTTAGTATAGTCATCTGCAAGGGGCTCATGAGCAGGACTCTTCGCCCTCTCGGTCTCTCAAAGAAATTGGTATTTGTGGGTCGTAACTCCATTGAGACTTGTTATTGACTTGTCACCCTTCGGGCATGCATCTTGTGTACATCTTTCCCTGTTTTCGAAAAACAATATTTCAATATAATGCCTTGAAGTAGTAACGTGTGTTGTGGTCACTCGTAGGCTGGATCGCGTATTGGGAGCCAGACGGTGACAGCACCGGCAGCCATTGCTTGACACAAGGCAAAACTTTGAAGCTTGTCTGAAGTGTCTTGTAAAGCAACTTTAAGGTTTTCCAGGAATAATAAGACAGAATCTGCCGGTGTGAGTAACTCTTCAGAAAATTACACAAACAACATGCCAATCTCTGTCATCTGCTCAACCTTTCCAAATCTTAGTCCTGCTTCAGATAACTCGACAGTGTATCATTGATCGTGTGCAGAGCAACAAGAACATAGTTTGATGGATGTCGGCGGTATTTATTAGATAGCGTCGGGTGCACTGCGCACGACTAGTGCCTTGTCATGCCAGGTACTATCGCGGACAATATGAGCTGAAACAGCGCTCCGGCCTGTGCACGGTACTACCTGCGTCGCCTGTCGCATCGCTCCCCAAACACGCGCCGCACCCTGAGGTTGAGATAAATTCTCACTGCGCTCACTGCGCCGCTGCGCTCTTCCGGCCGTCTGCTAAATAAAATATTCGCCAATAGAACCACGATCACGATGCGTTTGCCGTACAGCCCAGTGTTTCCAGCTAACATGCATTTCAGTGTCTTTCAAGAAAGCGCCGAAGTGTAAAATCCATTGTCACGCTCGTATCTTCTAGAGGAGCGCTGCCTGACGGAGCTGCCTTGGCCGCCTAAAGGTGCCGATCTGAATATCATCGAACACGTTTGGAGGCGCATCAAGGTAGCCATGTCACTGCGTCCCCTCTACCGCGCCACTGCCGACGAATTGTGGGAAGCGGTGAGACGTGAACGGGCTTCGGGCCGAGCCAGACTCCGAGGCCGCTCTGCATGATTCTTTAGCAGAGATGATGAGAGCCGTGGTCGCGGGTTAAGGGAGAATGACGCGGAATTAACTTCTCTCGTAAGTTGTACTGCGCCTCGGGACCCCCTCAACTGGACTTCTACCGGTTGGAACAAAGCTTGATGCTACGGTTGCGACACACTGGTGCCGTTAACCGGCGCATACTTAACTTCCCCGCCGACTATTAATCTTTTGTGTCTGACATTGTCCTCTGCGAATATTCTTGCGATGAAGTTTCAGGCTACTTCTCAGGACAAATATATGACTGTCGCACTTTATTAGAACTAGGAATTTATAAATGAAACAATGGTGTCTTGTCATCAACTTTTCTAGCTTGAAAGAAATACGTGGGCCCGGTAATAACGAAATAATATTTTTGAACATTTTCATACCAATCAAGGTTACAAAACCTTCGCATTGACATGTTACCGTTGTTTTTAAACAGCTGTGCTCAATGAAAAAGAAAAAGAAGGAAATACATTGGAGCCGGCCTTAATCCGATAAAAAGATTTTAGTTAATATTTTACGATGTCCTACTTTGTAGATGCACTTAATCAAATACAAACAACCTGCAACGTAATTTCAGGGGACTTTGAAAAACGATAATCGCAGCTGAAATTTACGACAGCGCAACATTTTTTCTTTCCCAGTCAGCGTTTTTTTTTTCTACTTAATTTTTAACAGGTGTTACGACAGATGGACTGGGACAACCCAATCACATTTTCAATGTAGGCTGTTTCCTCCGGCATCCTGGTGGAGTGTAGTTGGAACGGCACTTGGTGGGAGACATAATGTTACTACAATTTAGTTTGGCTTAAGGGGGCGCACTGCCGGAAAATTGCAAATTTTTAGAAAAACAAATTACTTTTCCTATTTTTATGTATAGTGGTTCCAGAACTGAAAATTTTGATAGCAATGTCTGTCTGAATGTTACGGAAAATAAATAAAATATTTTTGGTAAGCCGACGATGTAAAATCATGTTTGTGAAATTTCCCTGTTTCCTATTTTCAAACTGCTGTAGCTTTGCACCGGTATACCCTCGAATGATGATCTTACCCTTGTTAGAAAGAGATTTTCTTCTACATCAGTACATGAAATATCTTTGTTTGAGAGTAAACTCTATTCGGGCACGAACACCATAGAAGTTCAGCTTTCACGTGGAAGAGGCTATACATACGTCTAAGAATCGAAAAGCCTGTCCTGATTGAACACAAAACTGACTAAAACCAGCCTTTTGTTTATAGAAAGTCACGTGGGTTTGTCTGTTTTGTATTTTGATGATGCTTGCCCTACCCACTCTTGCTGATGTTGGTTTGTGTATTGCAAGCATACCGAATTCCTCACTCCTTTCACAATCCACATGCTGACAACAAAATGACACTCGAAGAAAGCATTGTCAGCTCGGACTCACTCAGCAAAACCGTGCAGGAGATTGGGTGAAACCGGAAGGCACCACTCTGCACTTAGTGCCTTTTGGTTGCCACCACCACCAGTAAAATCAAATGAAGTGGTGTGGAAACTTCAAACAGGTTTTTCTCAATTTCCCTTTTTTTGCAGCAACTTTCGTTTTAGAAAATCTGTCATTTCAACGAATCACTAAATGTATTCTTCGCTGTGGATGTTTCGGAACTGAAATTTAATGAGGAATGAGGCTAGATATTTATTTTTTCTATTTAAATGAAGTTTTTATTGCCAAAAAGTAGAGCCTTGATGAAGAGAAAATGCCCCGTTATGGTGGAATGCTTTTCAAACTGACATTTTGCATAGAAAAAAGGCGGATTTTACGGTAACATATAGATAGCCGCACCCGCTATATGTTGCATGGGGGAAGATGGAAAGGGAAATCGGCTCAACCAATAGACCGTTCCATTAGGGTCATAGCAGAGAGGGTAAAAAAAAGAAAAAAAAATGCCCTCCCCCTCTCGCCCGGATGTCGTCTGCTCCTCCGAGTGGGCAGCACCTAGATCCGGCTGGCGTAGAAACTCTGTTTAAAATCGCGTCATTTTGGACATTTCAAGCGCGGATGCGCAGATTTTGGTATGCCAGTTATCGTGCATTACTATGCTAGATAAAAACGACTAACAGAGTCCAATTGCGCTGTTATCTGCGTGCAAATAAAAAAAAAATAGGGAAAACTGTGTCAGACTGGCCGGTCTCGCCGGCGAAAAGTGAATCCAGTGGCTGTACCTCTTTTACTATACAAAGTTCGTGCTGGTGTAGGCCTTTAGTGACCATGAGTGGATGTCTGAAATAAATAAAAACGTGCTCTCTTGCCGCAATACACGCAGTAGTTGAGGGTAGTACTGCCGGCTGACTCAACGGATATTTAAGTAACGGAAAAAAGATATGTCAGTTGATCATTTACCGAAGTAGAACAACAAATAGCTCTAGGCGGATATTGGAGTAGCCATAACTATTCTAAGAACGCAAACCACCTCACAACGGCAGCCACGAGCGAGAGTTCGATGTTCCGTACAGCCCGCCGATACAGCCCAAAGGTGGAGAATGGCAACCTCTCGTTTTGTCGTCTGCTAGCGGAGTCGGGCTCGTGCCCTCTCTCTCCTTTTACTCCACCGAACCCGCTGAATTTCCCGGATGTGTGGAGAGGGCGCTGCTGTCGAACAAAATGGTGCCGCCCAGAGAGCGCTAAATAGAATGGTCTATACCTTCTAGAAATATGGCCGTAGCGCTCCGACTGGGTACCTCACAATGTCGGAGGAAGGAAGGCCATGGCGCAACAACGTGAGAAAAAATCTGCTGTTGACGCATATCGAAGTGAAAAAAAATGTATATTTTCGAGCGGAACGAAATGTTCGTGCACGTTTATCCGACATTAATACACGTTTTAAAAGCGCAGTCTTGTACAATTTATTATATATAAATAATATAAACATAATATACAACGCGTTACCAAGGTTTATAGTACCAAATTTATATTTATGATTATCCCTGTAACCGCGGGACTACGCGCAGTCCCGCAGCTCCCCACATTTAAGGCGCATTCACTTCGTGAAAAGACGCGCGTCGTGGAGTAAGTTTTTTGCTTATTTTTGTATTGAAAAAAGACGCGCGCCGAGGAGGACGACGCAGGGAGACGACGCCACGGAACCCAATTTTTCCCTCGACGCGCGCGCTTGAGCCAATCAGCGAGCGTCCGGACGTGACGTGTCGCCCTTTTCCGGCTAAGACTTGTTTTCGCTGTTTCTATATTCGACCTACAATGAAGGCGAAAAGGCAGAGGGGTCGGGAGATTCGTGCACTCGCCAAACTTGGCCGGAAGCATTTCAGCGTTAAAAGAAGCAAGCCGATTGGAACAT